CTCAAACTGCTGAAACAGTTAATGCTGGTTCTGATAGAAAGGGGTCAGAACACACAGTGCAGAGCAGTCTGTTGGTATGGGGCTGCAGAACATTATGACCACCAGGGTGCCCAGGTGCTCAGAATGTTATGGCTGATCGGTCCCTCTAGTGTCTTCTGGAGTAGCAATATGAAAAAAAATCCTGAGGCCACAACACTGAACACTCGCTGTTTGATGGCAATGCCGAAAGAAAAATCACAAACAGACCTATTTAAAAGGCAAAACCCTTTATGGAATACATAGATGTAGTTGCACACCATCTTGAAGAATGTATAGCCTTGTACAGTATGAGTATAAATACATACAAGTTTAAGGAGGAGACCTTTTTGATTCACAGCTTCCCAGAGATGATGCATGATAAAAGAATGAGAATGAAGAATGAGAAAAGGATCAATGCATTATAGCTGCAATAGGTAACAATTTTTTGTCATATTTACTGACACTTTCACGACATCCTGATAGTAGTACATGAGACAGATAATCTGTGAAAAAAAGTTCCTCTGGCTCCTCCCAGAAATCCAACAGGCCTGAATGAAAACAACCATTTAGAGCCAAGAAAGATAGTTGATCGTTAAGTCTCATTCCTAGGACAAACTCAACAATCAACTATCCTCAAGCCACCAACCCAAAGCCTCTTTCTATCTTTCTTGACTCTGATTGGTTGTTTTTTGCTCAGGCCCAGTGGATTCTTACAAATACCATTAGGAACACTAGGAGAAACCTGTCAGAATATAGTGATTTTTTTGTTATTGTATTAAAGTTACCCACAGATTTAATGGTGTAGGAGGAAAAAAAAACTGAGAATTCAAAATTCAAAAATTTAATGTGGAGGATGTCAATATCACCAACAATGATATAAATGGTTTAAAGCTGTAACCTTTACATCAAGGTTATACTTTAAAACCCTGACACCTAAATTGGAGTCTTCAGCAGTAACATAACATAACGCAGATGGTCCTTGAGCTCTGTGTGTATATGTGCATTTATCTACCTGTGTTTCAGTCTAAGGCCAGTCCTGACCTCCCTCTCAGGCTCCATCTTTACCGCACTGATGGTATTCAAGGATTGGCTGGCCTGTCAGACTGGCCATGGTTGGATGACTGCTGCTTAGCAACAGCAGAAAAGGATGAAATATTATCCAATCTTTTCTCTTTTCTCTGTCTCCCCCTTTGTCTCTGGATAATTATTATCAGATGCTTTTGAGTCAGGTTGAAACTGTGTATGTGGACCAGCTGGAAAAGGTGGATTGTGCTGGAATACATAATAAAGTGGCCACAGAGTGTGAATATAAATAATAATATGTAAATATATGTGTTGTCCATGGTGATTTATTGGTCAAATGGTGAATCAATAAACTGTACAGTATATAAGGAAACCAGAAACAGCCTCAGACAACACCCTGATGAAGCCAAAGAGTGTGGTGTACTGCAGACTTTTAATTTCGACTTCTATTAAATCTCACACTGGTCAGCACCTCCCTGCATGTACATTCTTTAATGGTTACATATATGATATTTAAAACATTAATAAAGCAGCAAACAAATATTCTCTGTGATGAGATATAGTGAGTCAGTGAATTAAGGATTTATTTCCACCAAACCAGAGTTGGCTAATTGTTGAAACAGTGGAAAGACTAACTTTTATTTTGTTTCTGTCCACTTTGAATGAAATTACAATGTCACAATGACATGCGAGGTAAAATGACAATTTGGTTTATGGAGTCTGGTGGCAATCAAGTGATATTACGTCCGGTTAAACAAAAGGTCTATCTCTGTCGGGATCCTTTCATAATGTTGTCAGACACCCAACCCGTTTCACCGCTATTTTCACAAGTGAAGTAAGGGTTATTTTTGTTGGTAACAGTGGAAAGACTAACAAAGACAGTTTTGGTGAGTTTTATTTTATTTCTGTCTGCTTTGAATTAAATTAAGATGTTACAATGATATTCAAAGTAAAATTACTGTTTTTGTCTATCGAGTCTGGAGAGCAATATTATAGCTGTTTATGGTTCTTTATAGGAATCCTAAAGGGGTGTCCACACCAATAACTATAACAATAATTCTAATGATAGCGATGTGTGATGCATCTACACTGATGAACCATATGTTTCAGGTAAAATTAAGTGTGATTGCAGCTGAATATTACATTATATAAGCATTAAATTAGTTTTATACCACAATGTTATTGATCAAATTGCTCTGAAATTGAACAATATTGTTTGTCACGGTCATAGTTATAGCATGGACCATCAACTTGAGTTATTTACAGTTATTGTTGGTCTTGGTGTGGACGGCCCTTAACAAAGACGGATTTGTCCAGTCTAGTTTGAGATTTGTTTTACAATTATGAAGGTACAAGGACTGTAGCCACAGTGCCTATTGTTTTGGTCTGAGCTAGTGCTCTAGTAAAATATTTAGTGGCAAGTCAGTTGGTTGAATTTGGTAAAATTGGTTGGTATTTGTTTGTGGACTGGATTTGTGCACACTATGAATTAGTCACAAATGTGTTTTGTACACTTGTAAATCTATTTTTTTTATTGTAAATCACAAAAGATGCATCAGTCACCAATATTTAGAGTTCCATACAAAGTATAATGGTTCATTATATCATATTATATCTTATTTGACCTTTTTGACATATGTGGCCTTAGATAATCTTATATATTATATATATATATGTATATATATGTATATATATATATACTTCTTTTCTGGTATTTTGAGTGAATTCTAGAGTGTATGCAGTAACAAGCAGCCGTTTCAGTCATAAAAACCTGGAAGATTTGAATTGTGATGTGATTTAACTGTATTGCTCGGTAAACTGTGTGAAGATGATTCAAGGCAAGTGGGTTTTTCTTTTACTGTGACTGCGGGGGCTGGTCTTGTTGACAGTAGGTGCATTTCACAAAATATCCTGTTTTTGAGGAACTTTCTTTTTATACTGTTACTATTAGTTTCTGGCTCGCATCTCAAATTCTTATAGTCAGACTCGCCATCCCT